GCTCCCCCGTAGACTCCGCGTACTCCTCTCGCGGAGCAGGAGTACCGGCGTCGACGGCGAGCACTTCCGGGATCGATTTATTGCGTCTAGACAAGACGCGATAAATCGAACCCAGAAGATCGATTGCTTACTGCCGGACCCGGAGGTAAGTATAGGTGTACCCTTAGTATAGATAAGAGACAACAGGTGGTACAATATACAGCTGGAGGGAGCATAATGGGAACAATAAGGTATATGATATTGGCTGGCATAAGCAGTGGTCCCAACACAACAGCTGTCTAACCATTACTGAGTCTAGCTTTAATAGTCATGTTAGAGTCGTTCCCCTTCAGGACATTTTCCCTCATAACTACAAACAGTAGTCACAAGAGTCTGTTAAATCTAACATTTACTGACTACAGGCGAAATATAAATAAGAGGGAGAACTCAGGAAAGGAACTATATACATATTTTTAAACTAGAGTGAGCACAGGTACTTATGTTTCTATAGAAGATCTAGAATAAAATGTTAAACATCACCTAAGTTTCATTTTCAAATGTAACTTAGTGGGACTGAGGCTAAGTGACTAACTTTTGATGCCAAAGTCACTTTTGAAAATGGGACTGAGACTCCTAAATCACTTATGAGCTTCTGAAAATGTTATCCCTAATCTCCTACAGCTTCTCTGATCACTCAAGAAACGTCTTCTGGTTGTCCGCTCAAGTAATTTTGAGAAAATTCCAGTGGTCAACCCTTTCTTCTACCATGTAGTATCAGGAAGGCGGTTCCAGCTTTAAGACTCCACCCTTATTTAAAGGCTATCTGGCAGTCCTACTGTTTCAAGAAACACCCCTTCCAGCACACAGCCTGTCAGCTACACCTTCTCCCAACAGTTGTCTTGCCCTCAAAGGACGCCTGAGAGAGGTGCATAGAATGAGTGTGTTACCTAGACCTTAGAACAGAGGTATTCAATCTGTGGTGTGTGCCCCCTTAGGGGGCATGGAGTAACATTCAGGGGGGGCGCAGCTGGGGCCCAGACCAGCCCCCAGAGAGGGCAGGGAGGGAACTCCGCCTCTGGATCCAGTCCCAGCTGCTGGCCCCACCCACAGCTCTGGGGGAAGGGGGCAAGGACAGGGGTATGGGGAGGCGTGAGATAAAAAGTTTGGGGACCACTGCCTTAGAAGATGTTGTGAAGACATATTTCCATATTCCATAGCACCAAGTGGCAACTCTTACATTACAGGTGAGTTTTGTTTAGGAGTGCAGTAGTCTCTAGCCATTTTAAAGTGTAGCTTCACTTTGAAAAGTGACTATATAAAATGTTTCCATCACAAGGATTTTATTCATTGTATGTATTTTAGCTAGAGATGACTCTGAATAATCTATCTCCTTAGAAATAAACTTATTTGGCTGATGCACCAACAGAATTGTTAAACTAATAGTAAAACCTTTGTTATATATGAGCCAAAATAACCCAACTTGTCTTTCAGGTTTCAGATTGAATTGTCAGGGCTGGATATTACAAAAAACATCTTTTTACTGGCAAATGGTGCAAAATTGCTCTGGAGATCATTGGGACATATAAAATATGGAACTCCCATAATGCCATTTTTTTACACGGTCGCTTTTCAGACTAGAACCACACTTTAATCAAAATACCTTTTTTGTTGTTGTCTACTTCTCCATTTTTCAGGTCGAATTTATAGTAAAACTCCTGAGTCTAGGTCCCTGGTATGGTTATGTAGCATTAAACATTGCAGTCTTTTTTTTTTTTTAAATCGGAGTCTTCCTCTGCTGTAGTCCATAGGTATCTTGAATGGTTGTACCCACCTTCTCCAGGTATCTGGTACATTCTGGCTAAACGTAACTGCTATTGTGGGGGATGCACATCTTCCATTGTCCTGCTAAATCCTTCAGCTCATTTCCGAGACACCACCATCACCATGTTAGAGACACAAGGTGGGTGAGGCAATATCTCTTACTGAACCAACTTCTGTTGGCAAGAGAGACAAGTTTTTGAGCTTACAGAGAGCTCTTCTTCAGACCACCACCACCATGTAACATTTATACCATCCACTCAAAGCATACTGCCTGACCAATTTGTCTGTCCTACAGCCTCCTTGTTTGCTTCCTGACTAGGTAGCAGTCTAGCAATGCATGTACACTGACATTTTCCAACAGTAGGGCATAAGTTACACACTCAAAATATACATGAACAAAGCATACAATTGTCGTATATCTATCTAGTCTACGTAATGTATTTATAGAGCACCAGTGACACAATCTAGGCATTGTTATGGGTGTTGGTATTTTTGCTTAGAGTACCCATTCTATATTGCATGATTGTTCTGTGTGCACACATTATGTAGAGTCAACTTACATGCTTGTGTTTGAAAATTTAACCCCTAGAGATATTTTGCTAACTGTGATGCAAACAATCGCTGAAGGTTACAGTTCTTATTTTGAATTTGTTGGCTGAGTTTGTAGTTGCTACATTGGGAATCTAACACAGCGGCAAGCCTAGAAATTAGATCATTATGTACTGGTTACAGAAACTTAGTCAGCAGAAGTAGGTGCTCTGCTGATGCCTCCTATAGGGCAGGGGTAGGCAACCTATGGCACGCGTGCCGCCTTCAGATTTTCAGTGGCACTCCCACTGCCTGAGTCCTGGCCACCGCTCCAGGGGGCTCTGCATTTTAATTTAATTTTAAATGAAGCTTC